TACTAATGAAGGTAAGCATGGGGACCGAATTTTAGATCACTGGGAATAGAAAAAAGACTCAACAGTTGACATGCGATTTTTTCTAAGTGTATCGACCATAATTTTCTTGAAGAACACAATGGTTTTAACGCGAGGGCGAATTTAAGATCTTGTGTTCAATTCAGCCAACATGGCGACCGTGATAGCTAGTAATAATTAACTAGACCACAACAAGAGTTTCTAACGGTCACCATGTTTAGTATTATAAATCCCATAATGCTCCAGGAATCTCGTCTATACTTATCGATGAAATGTGTCGTGTTGCGTTTTGAAAACGTTTCCTCTTTGTTCTGAGATTTTCTAATTTGCTTCCGATCTTATGTCATTYCATTGAGTAGCTTTTTTTCTTTACAAAATAGACTAAAGAAGGGGACTTCCAGAAACCTACGAGATTTTTCTGAGATTTCTGAAATTTCTGAGTTCTGAGATTTCTTAATTTGTTTCCGATCATATGTCAGATTCCATTGAGTACCTTTTTTCTTCATAAAATAAACTAAAGAAGGGGATTTCCAGGAACCTATGAAGCAGAAAATAACCAAAAAAAAATCAAAAATATCTCCATCAGTATAATTTTGTTTCCTAATAAACGTTTTGAGTGGAATTGAGTGATACAATCAATGCTTATACAATTGAATGCAAATGAACCTGACTTCGTGATATATTTTCCTCATTAATTATGCATCATTCAATAAGCTGATATTTCAAGCTTAGACTAGTCAGGTTACTAAGTATAGAATGAAGTCGACTCCACTCGACTATACAGCAGTATATATATTTTTTACATGGATAAATAAAACAAAATACTAGGGCTAAGCTAAAACGGTTCGCCATGGAAAGAAAAGGTTTTCTTTCGCATGGAAATTTTATGAAAGTAAAAGTTATTTGCCTAAAAACGAAACAATTAATTATCGTTGATTTGAGTCAACTTATACAAAAKGATTTGAGCACTGCTATTAGTTGGCTTTCGGTAAATATCAAGTCCGAGATAAACAAACCATAGATTCGTGTGAATTCGCATTCTGATTGGCCAACAGTCTTTGAACAAATAAAGACGTCGAATTAAACCCTCTCCCCCTCCCCCCCCCGGCTCCGTCGTTCCTGCAACAACATATTGTAGCTTTCTTGAACAAATATAAAGCTAGCGTAAGCCTACCCCCCAAGAAACGTTTTCAGCTGTTTTTAAATAACGCTATCCAGATAGTGATAAAATGTACAAAATATCAGAATAAATAGTTTGACTTTGTTATGTATTTTCAAACAGCAGTTAAGCGTCACGTTTTTTGTTTTGTTTTTGTTTTTGTTTATTTTCTTCTTCTTCTTCTTCTTTTTCTCCGCGTATTGAGCATGACTTCAAAAGATTATAGCAATAAATACCGGGTTAAAAACAAATTTATATTAAAAAAAAGAGTACCCACATATCCCAGAATGTTTGATTACAAAGTTACATCCGGGTATCTTTAATTACTGGATTGGCTCCGTTTTCGCTATTTATAGCCACCAGAAGTCAACCTAAAATAAAAGAAAACGAAATATCAACACTTCAATCAAACCAAAGTTGTGTTTCCCGTGCTATACAAATGATCTTCAATTCATTACAATGTTTCCAATGTTCTTAATAATTTTTTTGATTCAATGACTTATTTCAAAGATATTCTATAGAAAATGAAATATTTTTTGCTGCAAAGCCGTTTCAGGCCGAAGACAGGACTAAAGTTGATACGTCGTGCGCTATTGTTAGAAGATTTCCTTATTTGTAACCAGACTTTCGTTCTACTAATTTTTGAATAGTGTTGATTATAATTATGCGAGCTTTTCAGCGCCGTTGTAAAGTGTCTTTCGATTCTAAGCACTTCGCTAAAGTGGGAGTACACTCCGAATGGTTTCTTTACGGATGTTTGTAGAATACAAAGATAAATATATGGTATATTGAAGAATTAATACGAGGAGGAGAACCACGAGTTTTATGCTATAATAGGAGGATAAGAAGATTTTCTTTAACGGCGTAAAAAGCATGGCAAGAATGAAGGTGTTGGCACTCACAGCGATTTCACTTTTGATCACGTTTAATAGCACTCATGGTAAGCTCATATAAAAAATATTTTATATGCTTGGAAATATTATTAAATCTATATTAAGTTATTTGAAGTCTAACTTACTGCATAATATCAAATTGGACATGGCTGTATGTGAGATATGATACAATCTGGCTATAGAGACAGTGACAGATATGTATCAAAATATCCTCAAACACACGCCCTTATTGAAACTATATACAAAAATGTTTATACCAAACAATGCCGACAATAACTTATGTCTGGTAAAAAAACTAACTGAATAGTACTAAAAGCTTCTCAGTTTTAAATAATAGAGTGAAGACTGCACTTTTAAAAGTCAACGGAAACAAAATCTACTAGTCAGCCTCTAACAGTCAAATAAAAAAAAAAATGAAGAAAAAAATAAAATCATTATCTACTAATCTCTAGTACTAATATCTATTTCATAATGGACTTAAGGGATATAATTTTACACTTAAATTAATCGGCTAGTTTCAACTAAATTTATCAAGGAGTAGGTTCAAAATATTGCTTGACAGTTGGATTTGCCCAGTGATTATTGTTGTGTCGTGTTTAACCACGTGTTTGGAAATTGGAATAACTTAAAACTAAGTTTTACTGCGGTTTTCCGTATTCTGCAAACATGGTAGCTGCCAGCTGTAAGCTGAAATCTGTTTTTTCGCTGCCGCCATTGAAAAATAATCAGTCAGTACCTTTTATGTTCTTGACTGGTGAACGTGAAAAACCACAAAAAGCCGTTGAAATGTCTGAGTTCGCAGATTATCGAAAACTGCAGTAAGGAGTGTTTTTGTTAGTAGGGGTCCAACAAAGTATATATTTTCCCCGATTGGTTATCGTAAAAATAATCAAACTATACATTTATAATTCATATAGAAGAGATATGTTTAACTAGCTAAAAACTAGTGTGAGCTGCGTCGGTGTTTCTAATGAAACAGTACGACGAAGGACTAACGTCAGTAAGTTTTTTCATCTTTCCACGGTGTATAATTTACCTTTTTATTTATCATTACTGTTATAATTTAAACATTTATGATATATATCTAAAGTTTTATTCTTATCAGAATTCAGAACAGAGAATGAGCGCCAAGCTCTATTAAATACCAAATAAAAAACAAAGGATTTTCTACTATTTATAGCATTATAAAGTTCTAATATTTTTCCCCCTGGTTTCCTGTGTGCAGTCAATTGATATAGTCTCATCGTATACAAGTTATACAATATAATAGCTTCGAGCGTCATGCCATGAAATACCCCACGTGACACTTGTACTTTCCAGTATACACACACGAACATTTCTCTCAAAATTTCGAGAAAAATTGTACCGGCTGAACGCAAGCTAACCTTTGGTTGAGAAAATACAAGTGCAAACTATAACTAAAGTATATAGTCGCACAGTTGAAGATATGCCTAGACTGCAATGCCTGATGGGAAGGACCAGTGTAATACAGTCGAATATACGACGGCGGAATATTAAACATTTGAATATTCAATAGTGTTAGATAAATCATAATACATGCCTGTGCAAATATTTTTAAATCAGTTCATTAAAAAACTATGGCCTTATTTGTAAGAAACTAAAAGGAAAAGCACTACTTTGCACTAATTTTACGTGATTTTTTTCTTGGCTCCAGAAACGAAGTCGTTCAATAAGCGAATAATAGTCAAAGTAAAAAAAATGGAGACAATGAAATTATTGTCTACTACTTTGTATCATGCTAACACGACAAGTAAAAGCACGACATGCAGCTGTCTATATGCAAATAGCTTGGAAACTGGAAATGCGAAAGATTGCAAATTACGTAAAGGCAAAATACAGATCCAAAATAACTCTGTATTAAGCTTATTTTTACGACACATTCCAAGATGCATGTGTCACTTTGATGCAGTAACACTAGGAAAGAGTATCTAGACAGGTTACAGAGGCGCGCTGCTGCCATCATAGAGGGCAGAAAAATCAGGCAAAATGAATTACATTTCACCTTCTCCTGGCCCAGCTTACAGTCTCGTAGAAAATTTCAGAATAGGACGTTTGCACGATGGCGTCATTGACCTCTACTACCAGACTCCCTTGCACGCTTTCTTTTGTTCAGTTGATTAGCACCAATTGTCTTACTATTCTCATGAGGGAATACAAATTTAAATAAGAAAGAAAATTCGCAAAGCATCTTGGTAGTGGGAGTCAAACGACGCCATCATGCAAACGTCCTATTGTATGCTGGTATACACATGGCTAAATAATCTAGCCCCGGCATACCTATTAAATGAATTCCGGTTTTCTAATCAATTCCATCATTATGATACTAGAAACGAAGATCTGCTCCGTTTACCGTTGGCAAAAACTTCAAAGTATCAATCTTCTTTTCGCTACAATGGGGCAAAAACATGGAATTGCCTACCAGCCAACATCCGYAATACCTCAGCTTTGCTGCCTTTTAAACAAGCTTAAATTTCACTTGGCCAGTGTAACTTGTATGAATAGTCACTATTATTATAAGATAAAAGAATACAATGGAATTAATTAGTGTCTGTTATTATGTATACATATTGTTATCCTGTGTGACTATACTCATGGGCCAATGAAGTAAATAATCACTTTATATTCTATAATGGAAAAACCTTAGAAATATATTATTTTATTATATAATTACCAATGAAATATCTATTTTTCTCTATTTCGAAAAATTGATATCTTCACACGTGAAAATAACATGTTATTTTCACGTGTGAAAATAACACCATTGCGATGGCTATTCAAAAATACACGGAAAGAATTGCCTGAAAAAGCCAAAACATACTTCATTGATAATTATATAATAAACAGAATATTACATGGGCGCTTGGAGATACGAAATTTATCTTCTCGTGTTGAAAATCTCACACTCGTTCGCTACGCTCACTCGTGAGAGATCTTTTCAACACTCGAAGATAAATTTCGTATCTCCGCGTGCCCATGTAATATCCTCTATTACTATTATTTGAGTTTAACCTTTGAAAACTTCAATACCCTTCAGTACCAGGTGTCATCCAACATGGCGGAAACAGCATACGTGATGACTCTAGACAGTGTTTCTTTAAATACTTCTTCGCCATTTTGTTTTATATTTAACGGTTCATGATCAGTGCAACCTGTATATCAACGCTATATTACTAATCCAATAGCAAGTAACCTACCCTGCGGCAAAATGGTGTTTAATTAGCGGGTTAGCTGTGGTAAACCGGTCATAAAACACCTTTGCTTTTTGGTGTTTTTTTTCCGTCCAGATTCCTCCACTAGAAAACGGAAATGTTGCGCAATAGTAGCCAGGGGACTTCGGGACCTTACTCAAGAGACCTTTGTGGGCTTCTGATAAAGGGTTACGGTCTACAGTCCGATCAATTAGCACGTGCCAACTGTCACTATTATGCTACTACAAATAAATACTAGGTACATATAAGTTTATTTGAGTTTTGATTTTGTTATTAAGACTAATAAAATGATGAAAATAAATTTCTAAAACGCGTGCATTTTTGGCCTTCGTTTGAGATCGATCGTATTTCAACTTCTAGCTTACTCGTAAATGAAAATTTTCTTTTAGAAAATGWTTATTAATTTCAATTTGAAGTTCAAGTTCAAGCTGGACTGCTGGAATTGAAACTGGATATTTTTTCCCGATCATTATGAAATTGTGGCATAAACGTGTTGCCCAATTTGGCTGTCATTGTACATTAGCAGCTCTTTCACTGTTTTTCGAAAATTTGCAACTTATTTTCACTTCTCCTTCTTAGAGTCTCTGAAACCAGGTAACCCGGTCTACTCTGCCACCAGGGTCTTGTTTAACATATATCGAGATCCTCTTATTCCATCTTTAAATAAACCATTATCATTTTATTTAGGACCATAATTATATTTTACTGAGAACCATCAAGAAATTGACACTCCATGAGTTTTTTATCTTCATTGCCTAATAGAATTTATTCTTTTATCGTTAACAGCAATTTCCACAACCATAAAGTTATCAACTACTGCATCGACACCCACAGATACAACAACAACCACAGGGTCGCCAACTACTACACCAACGACTACTTTATCATCAACTACTGCAAGAACAACTGCAAACACAACTGCTACAACAGCGACTACTTCACCATCAACTACTGCA